AAGAAAGAAAGAAAGAAAGAAAGAAAGAAAGAAAGAAAGAAAGAAAGAAAGAAAGAAAGAAAGAAAGAAAGAAAGAAAGAGAGAGAAAGATTTAAAGCAATGAAAACTCAACAGAAGTTTACCATGCTGTAAGGACTGTTAGGCAAGCTTTGTTACAAGGTATCAAATTAGACTTAACTGCATTATCTATCGGTCACTTGTTAGCTCCATACTTGGAGTTGTTTCAGTCTCAGGGACAGCCCAGGGCCCAGGGCAGATTGTTGACATGGACTATAATCACCTGGCTCACGGGGGTTTCATTCATTCAGTATGTTCCTAAAGCTTTTGCAGTCTTCTTTGTTGGAGACAAGTGAAACAAGATTAAGACACTGTCTAGACCTCAATCAAAGAGGTGCTGTAAAACTTTGATTTGTGAAACCGAGAGAGCTGGCTGGCTGAAACCAAGGGCGGCTTATTTCCTGCACGGGTGTCAGGTATTAACAGACATCTTCTCTATTCCTCTGTCAAGTGGGTTATTAGAGTTGACACAAGTCAACCTAAAATATTCTTGGTACACTGCGTCAGATCTTTCTCTTTTCCTCACTTTAGCAAGAGGCCAAATTTTCTTCAAGGTAAATGAACAGAGCAGCATGGGAGTGGTGTCCCTGCTTTCTCTCAGCAAGAGAAACATGATCCTGTTCCATTATACATATACTCAGTGCCCACAACTAAAACAGTTCGCTCAGGCCATACAGCTGGGAAATGATTATCAAATTCTGGAAAGCCCTTGATGGCAGGAAATAGCACCTACGTTTACAAAACTGTTCCCACCAGATCCAGAATCATAAACCAGGGCTCCTTCCTTTGTCTGTTCCCAGTTCCTCCACCCAACCCCGAAGCCCTCGAGTATGACTCTGCATTCTGGAATTTTAACTCTCTAAATCCCTTTCAGTGGGGAGGGACCTCTATAACTTGAATGCATAGATGTAAGGGACTCACTTGATCATGTGGAGACGGAATGGTAAGAAACCCAGGGTCTTACTTACAAATACTTATTCTTTTCCACATGGACCACGGATGTGAGATCAAGGAAATGATCTGAATATCAACAGACATTAGGGGCTGCTGTGCAGCGATCTGTGTGTACAAAAGCTTTCGTTTGCTGCTCAAGGTTTTTCATGAACTCCCCTCAAACAGTGGCTTTCTAAGGTTGGAAATACATGATAATTTCCGGCCAGGGTATAAAGAGTGAACTAATTCATAGTTTGTCCTCCAACCTCTGCAAGTAAATTGTGGCACAGCACACACACACACACACACACACACACACACACACACACACACACACACACACACTTAAAATATATTTGAGTGTTAGGCTTATTTTTTTTTTTTTTGAGAAAGGGTATATATTTATTTTAAAACCTCTCGTAACTGACCTCTGAACTTGGGCTGTCTGTCTGTCTGTCTGGAGCTCCTGCCACTTTTGCTCCATCTAGTGGAATATTGACTTTTCAATATCTCAGCAATAAGATGAACGATACAACTTCTACTTCCTATAACAGTCACAATCTTTTCTGCCACTTCTTACTGTACAGTCACATCACGTTTATCAAATGATTGCCTCATTTCATTAGAATAACCACTAAGTCCTAAATATATTTGTTACATTCTTTACAAGAAAATATGCTACTGTAATAAAAAAGTGTGTAAGTCCTGCCTGGGAACCCAGGGAGCTATATTCACTGAAGAAGGTAATATCATCAAAGTAACAGATTTTTCTTTATTCTCTAGCCCCACCCTAAGGACTTGAAAATATTTCAAAAAAGTTTAATTTCCTCCTTTTAATTTTTTTTTGGTCAGGAATGGAAAATTCCATTGCAGGCATAGCCAGAAAAATTCTGTGTACTTATGCTGAACGTTACAGAATGAGCACCATAGTCAAAGCTGGCCATGACCCCTAAGTAATCATAGTGGGGTATCCTCAACTTACTTGAGAATTTACCTACTTAAATTATCCCTTGAACCTACTGCAATTTGATTTACAATCTGCTGTTTCAACAGAATAAATGAACCCCTTAAAAACCAACATACTATAGATATTTATATTAGGAATCAAGCTTCTCTAGGGAGGGTGCAGTTTATGGAAACAGTAACTTGGGGAGGAAGTAACAAATTGAGGTCCTGGAATTCTAGCGAAGGAGTGGAAATGCAGTTCTGTTTAAGCAAGCAGGGAAGATGTGATTATTTTTCACTCATTAAAGTGTAAATCATTAGTACAGTATTTTGAAAATTATGTTTTGAAAAAATAGACTTGGCACACATTTCATTCAATCAAGTCGAATTTTCATAGTTACATATGCAAATAAATTGGCAGAAACATAATTCATCTCTAAAATACATCTACTATGATCAGTAGAAACATCCTTTTACTACTCCGGTTCTGGATTCTGGTTAGAAGGCTGCCTACTGCAGTTCAAAATAGCAAATAAATGGCCCAGAATCCGGTGTGAGGCAGACAGACTTTTATTATGGATAAAAGGCTTCCCCAACAGGCTTGTAAACAAGATACAGTCCTGTCTATGGTTAATATTGTCCCTTACATCAAGATCTTAAAGGTGTAGTATATGACTTTCCTGTGGATACGGTAAGCAAGCTATTACTTTTAAAAAGACTTAAAATTGTATGCAATCATAATATCAGAATCATCAAATAAAGTTGTTTTACCTCAAAGTCTTTAGACATTTCTTTGCAAAAATTCAGAACTGGAATAAGATGCTCCCTACGCTCTCTAGTTTGTTAGAGGATCTCTAGAATTATCTAGAAGCACAATTCTCTGTTAACAGACTAAGTAATGGTATAGTATTGTTTTTCTTGCAATTACATACTTTAAGGATGTGGCAAGCCCCTATTGCTAGTACAGAAAATGAACTGGATTCCTTGGAGAGGCAAGGACCCACGGCGTGTTAATCTAACCCTCAGCTGCTAATGATTTGCACAGGGATTCACATGAATACTGCAGCGTCAACTGAAATACTAGTGCAAATTGATGGCAAGTTGCTTTTCAATGGTCTCTCTCTCTCTCTTTCTTCTTTTTTTCTTTTTTCTGTGAGGAGACAAAGTTGAGCAAATCTAGAGAAGCAGTTTTCCTTTTCTGTTTATACTTTCATTTAAAAGTAGTAGTGAAATAAAAGAAAATAATTTACATGTACCTTCCAGGTTGTTTTTTTTTTTGCTGGGATGTTTCAGACAATCTGCATTGAAAACTGAGAAACTTTCTAAAAAAATTTTTTAAACTGTCATTATTTTATAATTTAGTATTTTTTAAGCCTTAAGAAAAAAAACAAAGACCAGCAATTTTATTATAATTAAAATATGATTATTATATCTAAAATAAATTATAATTAAAATATAGCTGCAGAAAAACACTGTATAAGTTCATGTTAATAACATTGTACCTTTCTTCAGAGAGAGACAGAATAAAAAGTTTTTGGAATTTTTTTTAGCTCAAGGAGTCTTAGAAACAGTGGGTGAAAGAACAGAACTTTGCCTTGTATTCCTGAAGGACTTTGCTTTTACATTTTGACTCTCTGCATTGTTCTAAATTTCTCTTTCTCTTTCTCCTTGCCTGTTCCCTGCTCTTCTTTTACAGGAACCCCTTTTCACCCCTCACCTCCATTTGCATTCCTTTCCCAAATAAAGTGTGCGTGTGTGTGTGTGTGTGTGTGTGTGTGTGTGTGTGTGTGTGTATGTGCGCGCGCACACGGTGTGTGTCTGCTTTTTGACACATGATTTTGTAAAAGCATATATTTAGACTCTTGCTTTGTTGTTCTAACTAAGTAACATCATCAGCCATATTGCTGAGGAGCAATGCTGTACGGAGAACAAAGTGTGTTTCCAGGAGTTGAAAGTTAGAAAGGGAGAGTCTAGCTTTACTTATAACCAAAATCAAACTTAAAAAAGGGGGGGGAAAGCTAAAGGTTTAATTCAGTGCAATGTCTCTCAAATAACAAAACAATAAGGATAAAAATGCTCCTTTCAAAGCAGTAAGACATGTGACCCGTAACTGCACCTGCACAGACAGTACTTCTCAGTTATTAGATGATTTTCACAGTCGAAAGATCAACGGATTCCCAAGAACTTTTAATACATCATATTCTCAGAATGATCTACAGAAACCAAGTGAATTCTCCTCAATAAAGAAATCTGTATCTAATCCACATACCTGAGCGTGTATATATACGGAAGGGTAGCATGCTCATTTCTGATACATGAAACCACATACTACAGGAATTCATCAATAATTTGAATTGTTATTAGGCAATCTGAGACTTACTCAGAGGAATAATCATCCGCTAATTCTGGCATTCGTGTGTTAGCACATCTGCAGTTACTCAACTCATTATTTTATGACTACAAACCTAATGACTGAATTTACTCAAAGTAACACATTGATGGGTATTTTTAAGGCTTACTTTCTACCCTAGCATATTATGAAATTATAGCAAGTTATTGTACCTCTTCTCAGATGTAATTCAGATTTAATGTCATTTGTGAAATCCACCTTGATTTCCCACTGTGTGGTTCCAAGAAACATTCCAAAGTGATGAGCTCTGATCAGAAGTGAAGCTCCACAGACTTTAAGAGGAAGCAGGGGTGGGAGGCTGTACTGTGCACACTCTTCACCAGTTCAAAGCTCCCTAGGGGACTTTTCTCTTGGCCCCTGCTTCTTAATTCACATACACAGAAGGTGCCTCTGTCCATCTGCTGAATTTTCATCCTATACCTCTTAACTTTATGAAGTAGATCACTTATTGATTGTTTAATCTCTTATTGGTCTAGTTTTATCATTATCGTGACTCTACAAAAAATATTGTTTTAGAGCACTTGTTATGTACCAGACATCACCCCAAGAGTATGAACTCTGACATGAGCAAAACTCCTGATCTCATGGTGCATGAAAGTTAAGGAGTGAAACATGAAGAGAAGAACCTTCAACCCTGGCATTACCGGGTCTGGAGTGAGCACAGAAGTCAGAGCATGGAGCAGAGGTACCCAAGCCAGGGTTAGGAAACGGATGAGTTTTGCTGAAGTTATGTGCATGCTTAGACCTACAAAAGGACCTGGAGACAGCCACATGGGTGACTTTCCAAACCCAATAAAGTGCCTCAGAGATGTGCCATGACAGGTAAAGATGATGAAAGGATAGAGAGACTAAAAACGACAGAGAAACTAAACCTTATGTGTTTTAAGAATGACACTTTATGTCCAGGAAAACAGGGGAGTAGGGAAGGGCTTCCTCCTGGTCCCTGTGATTCAAATATTTGGCTACCAATGGGACAGACTTCAGACAAAAGTAAGAGAGATTTCTAATTGTTCACATAATTATGTCATTTTCATTGAGAACTAGCTGAGGCCTAGGAAGATATCTGTGGAAATGTGGCTGGAACAGAACATAGCTTCCATCAGGCATCTAGATGAAAACTCAGAGCAAGGTTACATTAAAGGCAGGTTAAGGAGTCACTTTGGGTAGAAACTCTAAGATTATATGGAAACTGAGTAATTTAGACCAGCAATGTTCAGCATTCTCTATTAAAAATTAGAGATGAAAGGTGCGTGCTGAAAAAAAAAAAGGAAATTTAGAAGAATTTTTGTGAATTCTTCAGGAGTTTATGGAGAAATATGTCAAGTGTCCACATGATGTCCCCTCTGCGTTACACTTGGGGAGTCATGGATCTTCCTTCATCGTTCTAAACTGTGACTCACCTTGGAAGCCGAGACACAACGCCAGCTGACATGGATGTCAGAATGTCATCGAGGCGACCTGGTGGCTTCCCCTTGAGAATCCAGCTGGTGGCCAGTTCCAGCAGAATCAGGGAGATGAAAAATGGAGTAGCCTAGAAAGGAGATTTCAGGGAAGAGATGCTAGTCTGTTCGCTATGAAATCCTCCACATTTTCTGATATTTTGGGACTGGGGCACACCAGCGGGAGATGGTCTACATTTATACTTCAGTGTTATTTCCAAACCAGTGAGCAAGAAAATTTAGTTATTTTAGATATACACTGAAGATACATTCAAAATATACTATGCAATTTGCAAATGAAATAAAAGCATAAATACAACTATCACTGTTGTGCCAGGAGAACAGTTAAAATCAGGAAGGAGGTGCAGAAAGTACGTTTCAAATGAGTTCAGCCTGTAAGAGCCTATCATCTGCCCTGAGCAAGTCTGAGTCACTCTAAGAGAACTCCTTAAAAACACCCCTAATTAGAGTGTTTAAAAATTAGAATTTCTAGAACTACTTCTGATAATAACATGAAAATAGTAGAAACAAAAGCCAAGATTGTTAGCAAATAAGGTAAATTCCTAGGATTGTATCACCATCAAGGTTTCATTCATTCAGCTTTGGTTTTGTGCTTTTATAAAAATGAGTATTCAACTATTGATCAATGCATATTAGACTAGTATTGACGGTAGAATCTACATAATAATAATTTTTGAAGACAAAAGTTGCACATTTTTTTTCACTGGATAAAAATGGCAAATATCAAATCTCAAAAGCAATATGGGCTTTGGTCATTTGGAAACGGATAATGAGTCTGAGGTTTTCTAAACTGAACTCCCAAGAACACTCTGTGATGTCATGTTTTCCCTGTTTCTGGTCTGAACTAGTAAGTGTTGTAGGAACAACTTTCACAGGGTGGGGAGCATCAGTGCTCAGCTTCTAATTCTGGATATTTCCACTTCCAATCATAGCCAAGCAGCAGAAGCGAAAAATGCCTCAAAGGCTTGAAATGTTAAAAAAAAAAAAAAAAATGGTTCAAGTTCAAACTTAGGAAGTCAGAATTATACTGCGCCAAGCTGTGTATCTTTCATTCTGCAAAACTACTCTACCAAATTAAAGAGGAAATACCTTCCTGGAGGTGGCGGACCAGTTAAACATTTTAAAACAAAATTGTTACAATGCTTACCGATGTGGTATAACTATTTAATATTGCTTTCCAACAGCTAAATTTGCAGTGTCGCCAGGCCCAGGAAAACTTTGAATTTTTCTCTCATATTCTAGAGGGATGTATAAGGGGATTTACAAACAAAGACGTAGATATTGTATAGAAATTGAATTCTCTTGAAAACTGTACTTTTGCTTCATGACTGTAAGACACTGGATTTTTATGAGGCTGTAATAATTCAAAGTAGGAAATTGAACCAATCCCCAGGATATGTTGAGTTGATGTTGGTAGAAGAGAGCAAGAGAAGCCCTTTGCAGACAGCCTCACCTTTTTAACGTAATCAGGCACCTCTTCAACAGTTGGGAAGGCAGTTTCACTGGGCTTCATCAGATAAAACATCATGCGAACACCCTGGGAAACGGAGACATTGTCTTGGGCTCCTGGGCTCTGCATTTCTGCCCCTGTCTGATTCACAGCTGGGGAGATTTGCGGTTCTGTGGTAGAAGCCGGAGACTGAACTAAGGAAAGGAGCCGTGCAGCACAGAGCGAGCCTTGTCAGAGAGACGCCGCAGACCACAGAGCTGGACAGGGACCTCAGCCAACTGTGGTGCAGTTTGTGTGCCCAGGCACTGAACACTCGCGACAAGAGCGAGTTCAGAGTTCAGGGGCTGACTCCCCAGGAAGCAGAATGTCACAAGAGAAGGGAGACCCGGAGCAACAAGCACAAAGTGCAGTCTGCCTCTAGCTGAAGCAACTCATCAGCAACAAAGAGGAAAAATAAATAAATAAATCACGTCCAGTCGTGCCTGGGAAAGCGAAAGGGGAAAAAGCAAACAAACCAGTTTTGTAGCACAGGTGAAAGTTCGCTCTGATAAATAGAACTGACTTTTGGACTTCTACCGGGTTATCAGAGTCCAAAAGTCAGATTACAGGAGCAAAATTATATTTTTCCTGAGCTGCACAATGTCTTTGAATTGCTGTTTCTTCACAGAATCCTGTCTTTGAAGCGACAGGGAGTCTGAGTAAGGGTTAGTTGATGCCCTTAAGCTGGAGAGCCTGACTTCTTACTGCCAATGTATTTCTAATCTCAGTCCTGCGAACTATTGAACGTTTTGCAAAGCGGTTCATAGCCACCAGGTTTTTCTCACAATCTAACTGTTTAATGGAATCTTACCTAGTCACAGTTTCTCTAGCCTTCTCGTCTTTAAAGGGTTGTCAGGAGACCTCACCTGTAGCTTACAAAATGAGCTAAACTCACTGTCCTCTTTGGAAAGAGGACTGGAGGGCACTTTCTTGACTGCACAGGCAGGGAATGTGTGTGTAGTCCTTGCCTGAATAGTGAGGAACTTGTCAAAGTCACCTTCAGTTGCTCTGGTTCCCGTGGCATGTTGGAAGGAGTGTTGTGGGGAACCTGATATCACTTTCTTTGTTACCGTGACAGAGCAAGGTAAGGAAGGACTGGGGGGTTTGTGTGCCGTCTCTGCCCTGGAGTTCAGCCCGTCCTGGAGGGACAGCCATGGTGGAGGGAGTACGAAATGGGTGGTCAGACGGTGTCTACAGTCAGGGAGCAGGGAAAGTGAAGGTTCCTGCCACTCAGCTGGCTTCCTCTTGCTTTTCTTTTTAATTCAGTCAGAACCCCAGGGTAGGGGCCCGCCCCCACCTCTTACAGGTTTCCTATAAGGAGGAGTGAAGCATAAGGAATTTGTAGATAGAAAGAGAGTGGAGATGAGACAGACAGAAACACAGGATAGCTTCGGGAGGACCTGGATCAAAATCCACCGGCCCCTTCTGTCTCCTCTAAAGGACTTTTTAAAGTAATGCCAAGGGTCGGGACAAAAGATCTCCCCCTTGCTAGATAAAAGCATATGGCACATCCAAGTGCAGACCCTTCCAAACACCTGGTAACCATGCACATGCACAGCCCTGCGGGGTACAGCAAGCTCATATCCCACTGGGAAACCTCTGTTTCAGATCATGAGATAACACCATCCACACTCAAGGTGAGACTTCACCAGTTAACCTAAGGGGTCCCTGCAGGTGTCAGGCAGGGAAACAAACCAGAAAAGGTAGGAATAAAAACTCAATTCAGGTTAGCTTTGTCAACTTGGATCAAACTTCAAGGAGTCTGATGCCAGGCAGCTTACTGCCAGCATATTTAAACACAATATAATTTGGAAAAAGTTTCCTGGTACAACACAATCCCCAGTGCATAAGGAGGAAATAATTACACTGAAACTTAACTCAAAATACGTGCTAGTTCTTCTAAGAAGATGGGTTCTAGAGACAGGCTGCCTGTGCTAACTTAGGCTTAAGGAAGGATCTGGCCTGGTCTCAATCATACAGATAGCATAGAGGTCATTTGGCTTTTAGCCACCTCTTGTCCTGGTTGTGGAGCTTCAGGGAGTATCTGGATATACAGATAATGTAAGGGTCATTTCAACTATTAGGTATCTCCTGTCCTGGTTGTGGGAGCTCGGGGGAGCCCCTGGCTGTACAAGTAATGTCAGGGTCACTTAGGTTATTAGCCACTTTCAATCCTGGTTGAAGGAGCATGATATTGCCTGACCCAACAGATACTGTAGATCACCGGACTATCAATTACCTCCAATCCAGCTTTCTGAAAGAACAGGTTATATTCTTTGAAAGGACATTGTTATATTGTCCTTTGAAAGGACAATCCTGGATGCTTACTCCTGGTTTCCTTGGAGATCTATGGTGCAAGGACCTTTATGCTCCCAATATCAACCTCACTGGAAACACCTCTCTAGACATGCCCAGAGATGTGTTTCTAAGGTTACTCCAAAGTCAGTCCATTTGACAGTGGATTGGCCATCAGAATCTCAGAAAGTTTTAACACCAGGAGTGGCAATTAGAAGTAAGCACACAACACACAGGGGAACTGAGGCTCTGGAAGCCATGTGTGCTTGTAAAAGGTGGTTGTGTAAAGTGTGTGTGCTTGTGTGTACACACCCACATTTTGTATGTTACTAAGCTGGGGTGTTTTTCTATGTTCAGGGAGATATCATATCTAAATGTCACTTGATGATTTTCACTGAGAAATTCCTAGGGACTATGATGACAGGTTCACTGAACCAATTCCATTCCAAAGTATACTCACAACATAATTGCTTGAAATACAAACAATTCTCATTACAGATAAAAAAACACATATAGGTATATGCTGTGGGATGTCTTTGTGTATGCTGTGAATATGTGTCACTCTGATTAATAAATAAAACACTGATTGGCCAGTAGCCAGGAAGGAAGTATAGGTGGGGTAAGCAGATGAGTAGAATTCTGGGAAGAGGAAAGGCAGAGTCAGGAGTCTCCAGCCAGACACAGAGGAAGCAAAATGACAAGGCAGAACTGAAAAAAGGTACCAAGCCACATGACTAAACATAAATAAGAATTATGGGTTAATTTAAATGTAAGATCTAGTCAGTAATAAGCCTGAGCTAATGTCCAAGCAGTTATAATTAATATAAGCTTCTGAGTGATTATTTTATAAGCAGACCATGGGACTGCGGGGGCCTGGTGGGACTGTAGAAAACTTCTGGCTACATTTGGTGCCCATTCCAACACTAGTTGACCATGGAGGTCTGGAGAGCTTTACAGTCAGACAGAAAGTGACAGAGCTGGGCAGGAAGAGGAAGTGATGTAGCTGGGCTGAGAAAGCAAATTAAAGAACAGAACAGAAAGGCATAGAGGTGTGGGTAGACAGGAAGTAGTTTGCTTTTTGGTAAGGTGAGGTCAGCTGTGACTTTCCCTATTTCCCTGATCTCTCAGGTTTTCACCCCTATACCTGGCTCTATGTTTTTTATTTAATAAGACTGTTTAGAAATTCGTCTGCAGGTATACTCATGTAACAAAAGTGATTATGCAGAGTGTTTCTTTTGCCTTTTATTCCTTTAATAAATTAAATGTGGTACATGAACAGATATAAATCCATGTAACTTAATAAGTAAAGTGCAAAATGGCAACAGCCCTCCTTCTCTTAATTGAGACACTCTGCACTGACTTCAAAGGGGCAACCTCCCCTCTCAGTGGGTATTTTATTTTATCAGTTATTTTCCTACAAAAGACAGTTGTTATTGTTGGTACATATCAATTTAGACATACACCTATGGGTTGGCATGTGTAGTAGACTGTATTAACTCCTTCTTGGAGTCACAACTTAATCAAGAACATTATTCAAGGCAGTCTGTAGTTACATGCTGAGGCTTTGTTTGGTTGTTGAAACAGACAGCAAAAGGGTGTGGGGAGACATATGTGTGGATACCAAGTAAAGAAAATCATCTTAGGTATTTAATGTACAGGAAGATGAATATAAAGAATTATTAGCAGAGATAATGAAATAAGTAAAAGCTAAACAAAAGAAAAAAAGCCTAGGGACTACTGTCACTGGAAAACTACCAGCATTTTTTAATCCATAGAGATGGGGGGGGTATTCTATGAAAAGCCAAGAGCTGCCATAACTCAGTGGAAGCTGAAATCGTAAGGAGAGGAGGTAGGGTCCCTGAGCAGACTCAGTCTGTGCCAGAAGCAATATCCAAGGAAGAGAAAGAAAAGAAAAATGCTCTTGAACTTCCTTGTAATTTATTTGAGACAGAGTCAACAGGCAATTGAGAGAGGAGTACAGACACGGAGTCTCCAGGGGATAGCCCCATAGGACCACAGCGGTCAAGGAGGAGGAAGAGTGGATCTGAGGAAAGTGAAGCAATGGTGAGCCTCGGCCCTGCACCACACTGGTTACAGGCTTCACCCCCACTGCAGGGAGAGCAAACCGTGCTCTGGAGAAGCAGCGTAGGGTCTGAGTACTTCCTATTGGAGTTAACCAGAGGATCCAAGAGTGGATTCCAAGACAGGAAACTTTGCTTTTCTTGGTGCCATCACATCTTCTGTCCCTACCCCTTTAACTGAGGAAAAGTGGATTTGTAGGGGGAGGCTCTGTTGCCATCCTCTTCAGTCTTTAGAACCAGTTTCTAAGGATTAGACTGGAGACCTCTTCTGACAGTGCCATATTAACACTGTGCTTCTGCTATTATGATAAGAATTCATGTTAGTCATAGGTATTAGAGGAAAAACTCAGACAATAATCTTGTAAAAGTGTTCCATAACCACACTGGGTAGATTACAATGGCACACACACCTAAAGGAGCATCTTCCATTGGAGATCCTTTTCTGGAGTATTTTTCTAGCTGCTGAGATTCAAGCCTATGAGGCATTTGAGGTTCAACTTGTTAAAATTTAGAAGCCGAGTGGTAAAATGAAAAAGCCTCAAATTAGAAGGTGTCTGGACCTCTGAAAAGTCCTTTTGAAGACAGCAGGCCATCAAGCAGGCCATCATGTGAGCAAATGCTAAGCTGGTATTGTATGATGTGCACCTGCTGAAACTTCTTTACTTAACATCTACCATTGCCCAAAGCAATAAAAACAGAAAGGAGTGGATGTTTAAAACATGAGTCACATGGTCCAACTTAAGTGTTAAAACAATCAGTCTGGTTTTCTCTGTGGATAAACTAGAACTGGATTTGGGGAGCAGGGAAGAGCCCCCAGGACACCCACATGACTCTCTCAGGTGGATGCAGTAGAGTGAAATTAGAAAGCTGTGTCTACATCCATAATAGTCATAGAGCT